GCGTATAAAAATGACTGGAATGTTGGCCGTCAAATCCAAATAATGGCAGGATAAAGCACGAAATATCAGATGAAAACCGTTCAACGTTGGTTAGCAGACGATAAGTTTGATAGACTTAAAGATTTAGCCGTCGGGATTCAGTAAACAGTTCTTTGAATCGCAGTTGTACAGTTCTATGTGTGAATAAACGAAGAAAAACAGGAAATCATGTCAACCACCATCGTCGAAATTCCACGTTTGATGTTAATCAGAAACGCGCATTACCAACCAATAGTAAAAAGTTGCACTAATACTATTCCCGATCATTTTATGGCACAATTTGTAATCACATAGGATAGTCCTATGCATAGACTTACAAACAGAACGCTCTGGGCCTCTGACGTAGATTCGTCACTTTCAACTTTCAAGATAGCGTATCAGGCAATGTAAATACGCCCACTGTCAACTGTCGGAAATCTCATAAAAAAGACGCTTTGTGATCAATCCCACAACACTGATATTATCAAAAGAAGCAAGTGCGGAGGTCACGCGAGATCGCAGATGTAAATTATTAGGCCTAATCATTTCCGGAGATGCACGAAAAATAGGTTATAGCACGAAATAAGGTTACTTGACTGTAATAAAATAGCTGATAACAAACACTCAAAATAAGTTTCGTCAAAAAAACATGGGCAATGACTCATACTAACTATTGTTCGATTTTTCTGATTTTCAATAATAGAGTTCATCCTTTGATGATAACAAATCCGTCTGGAATGTGCCTTCTAGAGTGTTAAAAAGCTCAAATTTAGAGCGTTTTCAAGAACAAGGACAATAACTAATACTAGATAATTTTCGATTTTTCTGATTTTTAATAGAGTTTATCATTGGGTGATTACAAACACTTACACCAAGTTTCGTCAAAATCCATCAGGAATTTTTCCCTCTAGAGTGTTTACTAGCAATTGTGGACAGACAGACGGACAGACATGGGTATAAAAACAGCAGAAAAACAAAGCACAAACAAAAGGTTGACAAACTATTGAAAAACAATACTTTAATTTCAATATCAAAGTCGTTCAATTTCAAAACTGATTTCAGTTACATCGCCTAGGCCAGCTTTGATTTTATCACCATGTGACACGGGTCCATATCCATCAGGTGTTCCCGTTACTATGAGATCTCCTGGCTCTAGAGTCATATATTTACTGATGTAGCTTATAAGCTGGGGTAAGGTGAAGATAAGATTTCCAGTGTTGTCATCTTGTTTTAGTGTGTTATTAACCTTAAGCCATATTTTCAGGTTATCGGGCTCTGGGATACGATTTTTGGGAATAAAATCTCCCACTGGACACGACGAATCAAATCCTTTCGCCAACGACCAAGGTCCTCTAGCTTCTCTCGACGTCCCTAAGGTACCAAAATCGGTTAAATCTAAGGCACATGTGTATCCTCCTACAAAATCCATAGCCTTATTTTCTGGAATATCAAATCCTTTTTGACCAATAATAACTCCCAGTTCCACTTCATAATTTACATTTTGACAAATTTTTGGAATCTGCAAAAAAAAAAGGATAAAAAAAGTTTGTTGGAATACAATTCCTGTGAAGAGTTAAGAAGCATCGTACAACGAAAGGAATATTATATTCATGTACATAATTTTCAACACACAGACACCAGATTCTAGCACAAAAAATAGACACTATAAGAGGTTTGATTTTTTTTAGCAGAATATGGTGCCTGTGCTTCACCAAGGAATCGGGTTGATTTAGCGACTAGTAAGTTATTATAGTCATGAACGCCAGAGAAACTTAAATAGAAAAGATGCAATGTTCTCGGATATAGGACGATAAACAATGTTTAGTTTAGGTGCAATTTATATAAAGATTAAAATATTTTTTTTGTAGGANAACTCTGAATTTCAATAGGCCTTTCCCTTATTCTAATATACTCTTTATAGCATCCACAAGGTTTAGAAAGTAAAGGGTAATAACTCTGGAAATATAAATCATAAA